ACTTGAGACACAAAAATAGTTAGTGACCAAAATGTGCTTTACATTTTTATTGAATATAAACTTGTTTACAAGTCAAGCTGCTGAGGCCGAAGCGAGAAAATGTCCGCGACTTCAAAACCCGAGTGCGAAGAGCGTACCTACAGCGACGAAAATCTAGAATCACTTCTGAATGCACGCATTGTTGTTAATCATCCAACCAAGGCTATTGACATTCACATTCAACATTCACCGCTTTGATTACAAAGATATGACAGCATTTTCGGCCCAGCGAAGGGAGTAGAGGGAATTGATGAAATATCAGTCTGCATGGAAAGATTCCTTTCCCACTTTTATTTTTAATTTCGAGTTAGTTAGCTATCAGTTGTAACGGTTAGACACATGTGCAGGTACCTATTTCTTCAACGCATTGGTAGTTATCGATCTCGGATAAAACTATAGGGCACCTTAAGTCTATTTTTTTTCTTGATTCAATAGTAAACATGCTGGCCGAAAACATGATCTATCTAACAGCTAACGTGAATCTCTGACAACTTTTGCTATTTTAAACTTAAAAAGGTAAGAAATGGGCAAGAAACCTACCAATAGGAAATAAAGATTGGAATTGGACAACAAGTTATACACTGAACACTTTTGATAACATCCGACAACGCCGCACCAGNACATTCACATTCAACATTCACCGCTTTGATTACAAAGATTTGACAGCATTTTCGGCCCAGCGGAGGGAGTAGAGGGAATTGATGAAATATCAGTCTGCATGGAGAGATTCCTTTTCCCACTTTTATTTTTAATTTCGAGTTAGTTAGCTATCTGTTGTAACGGTTAGACACATGTGCAGGTACCTATTTCTTCAACGTATTGGTAGTTATCGATCTCGGGTAAAACTATAGGGCGCCTTAAGTCTATTTTTTTCTTGATTCAATAGTAAACATGCTGGCCGAAAACATCTAACAGCTAACGTGAATCTCCGACAACTTTTACGATTTTAAACTTAAAAAGGTAAGAAATGGGCAAGAAACCTACCAATAGGAAATAAAGATTGGAATTGGACAACAAGTTATACACTGAACACTTTTGATAACATCCGACAACGCCGCACCAGGACGAAAAAATTTCGTTCGTCCATATTTTCTTTAAGCCGTTACGCTTTTCGAACTTTGACTAGTCTCAGCAGCATCAAAGCACAACTGGCGATTAAATATTCATAATAAACTAAAGCAAGAAACCTAATGCCAGGATCTTGTCTTCTCGCGGAAGCCTTACTGTTCCCTCGGCCTTATCTGTCTAACTA